CCTACTTCATCTTTTTTTAATAATCTCTCCACCTTTCTAGGGACCCATGTTGGCAAGTTTATCGGTTGTTTTCTCCGTCTTCATAGTAACCCGAGAAATATCAACCCTCACTGCAGAGAAGTGCCCAAGTAAAATAAAAATCAACTCTTTTTTTTTCAAACACCCAAAAAGCTTTAAAATAGAAAAGACCTCAGGCGAAATTATACTGATAATGACCGCTGTCATTTCTTAATAACGAATTCATGAGCACAAAAAAATCAGCAATATCAATATCAAGATCTAATGGATTTACCATAATTGGACCTCAGCTGGTGTTCCTAGTAAACAAGCCGTTCTGATAAAGGAAAATGAACATTTACATTTATAACTCTGAAAAAACCCCAATTATATGCAATTTGAATGTGCAAATTGAACCACTAGGTGGCGTATTAACACTATGAAACCATTAACCAGGTTTCAGGTTTTTCAAATTACTGCAGAAAATGCCCAGTCCCGGGGAATTAAAATTCTGTGATATGAACAGAAGTTAATCGGGACTAGATCAGTTATTAAATTCAAACCTTTTGGCATGCTACTTGCTGTAGCATACATACATGCTAGATGTTTCCATGCAGCCTTTTGGCATACATACGACTAGATGTATCCAAAAAGGCAATATGTTAAATTTAAATCTTCCTAGGAATTATACTAGGAATAATCTTAGATAGTGTTTATATCTATTTTATAAAGATATTGTATATCTTATTTCTAAAGATAAGAACTTTGACTTATACCTAGACACTCTTATCAAAATGATGAAATATCAATAAATTAAGACTTAAGTACCAGTATTTCTGGATATATGGCTGTCCTCATTTTAATTAACAGTTAATATTTAACATTTTATAGAGTTATTTGATAAAGAATTTTAAAATCTCATGCATCATTAGCATATGCTAAATAAACCGACACATAATAGGTTCTTAGAACTGTGCCTATTCGGTTAATAAATTGAATGAGTGAGGCTGGGAAACAGTATATTTTTCTGTGGTAACTGAATCAATCAGGTCCTACAAAAAAGATCTTGGAAGGCACATTTCCTCCAGATCAAAGTGGGGTTCCATGAGTAGAGGGTGTAGCCATATGCTACATGGCCAGGCACGGACTGGGTACAGATTCCCCATGGTCAGAAACTCTGTCTCCAAACAACAGCGCCTTGTACTCTGACACTTGCTACCCCCAGTAAGGCAATGACATTTTAAACATCCGTCACGAAAATGTTATTGCATATTTATTTTAGGTGCCTGGCATTGTGATCAATATCTCTAGAAGATACAAGGCAAACAAAGCAAGTCACTGTTGTAAAAGTGTTTATAATTTATAATTAAAACCAGAAGAGATATGAACATGAATAATAGTTATTGTCGTTCTTACATTAGCTGCTTCAATTTACTGAATGTCTATTAAATGCTAAGCTCTGAAATTATGATTTTACTTAATCCTCATCCTAAGCCCACAAGATATGTATCATTATTTCCCCTTACAAATGAGGACAGTAAAATTTGGGAAGGTTAACCAGCATGTCCAATGTCACCTAGGCAAGAGGCAGCAAAGCAAGGATTTGAATACCCAATTTGGTCTGATTCCCAAGCCTCAGAGTCTCCCACATACCACATGTCTACCAATACAAGCCACTGTACATTAAGTTTCTTTTAAAAAAAAAACAAAACTTGAAATAGTACTGTGATTGTAAAAGCATTGAGGCAATGTTCAGGCAGTGAAAGGAATTTGGGAAGACTGAGTAAGTGCAGAAACCCGATGCCAATGAGAAACCCAGGCTGCTGCCACGAAGTGAGCAGAAACAGAGCAGAAGTCCTCTAGGATAAACTGGAATTTAGCTTCAGTCAAGCAGACCCGCCAGGATCTGCGGGACAAATGAAGCAACAGGAGTATGCAGCTGCCTGAGACAGCGTGGCCTCCTCAGAGCCAAAATTCAGATCGGAGTGTGAATGGAAGAGGAAAACTAGCCTTAAGCCACAGTAGACACAGCTACACAGTTGAAAACTTTCTTTCATGGCATCAGCACATAAGTGTGAGCTGCACTCTAAGAATTCATATTCGCAATGTCCACTCTCTACAACTCTAATGGTCCGTGGCAGCAGACAAGTGCCCATGTTGCTAAGGTGTAAATCAGTACCCTACTCTATTCAGATGGTGACAATGAGAGATTTAGCTAATGATCGAGCCTGATGAGCTCTCCAGCATCCTAACCTCAGCAGAGTTTCGTTGCTCTTTATATGTATCGTCACTTTTCAAGAAGTTTGATTCTGAAAAAAACAAAGGTGTTTTCTTGGTTAAAGTGGAGAAGCAGGGAGTCCCCAAGGAAGATATAAAATGTCAGTGAAAATTGAAAATTATACCTGGATACGAGACACCCCCCAGCATACACACACACACACACACACACACACACACACACACACACAGAAATCACCTGAATGTGAGTCTCAATGGTCCTGTAATTCAGGAGAAAGCTTACATTTATTTATTCAAAAAGCCATTTACTTAATGTCTAAGCTGCTATTACCTGTACAAACTTGTCTATATTGTTAATTCTGGGCATCCGCAAGGGCCTTTGGGGTGTAATCACCATGGATTTTCAGGGGTACAGGCTACAGACATGCATAGGTAAGGGTCCCCTTTAGTGAGCAGCTTCTGTTTCCAGGGCCTTGTTTATGCATCATCCTACTGCACATTCATGACTATAATTAGAATAGGGTCTATCACACCTGGTTTAGAGGTAAGGAAACCAAGGCTCCAAAAGTTTAAGTAGCTTATTCAAAGTCACCCAAGAGGCCCATCTGGGACTTAAAGATGATATAAAGCCCATGACCTTGCCTCTACATGCTGTGCCAAAAATGTTAGCAGAACCTGTTAAAAACTGCTTAATTAATGGCTTGTGAAGAATTAACATTTGATGAGCTATAAGTTAGGACAGTTATTTGGGGATTTAGTCTATTTTTGTTCAGGCTTTAACTTTTTCATTTATATGTCAAACAAACTACGTTGAAGAATATTTGTAAAATATATAAATAGAACTATATCATTCCTTATAGCAAATAGTTTAGCAGGTTTTATATAAACCAGAACAGGAAGAGAAATGTAGTTATTTAAGATATATATGTGTACATGTTTATATATTTCCAAGTCCAATAAAGTATTTATATACTCCTACAATCTAATTTTTTCCATTCAATGATAACTTATCAAGTTTAATACATTTCATTCCAAAGAATATATATATATAATTTTGGGTTTATTGGCTCATACTGACAAAATAGGATTACTGTGACATTAACCTTTAGCTCTCTTCTCTTTTCATAGCATGAGGTTTTATAAAACACACCCAACTCTATTTCAAAAATTTCTGTTCACTCTCTAAAAATCATAGATTAAAATATTCATTTTCTCTTAATATTCTTTCAATTTTCACAATCACTACAGAAATAATGCAGCATGTGCCTCTCAGATGTCCACTGCTTGCAAGATTTTGAAAAAAGGAAAAATCTATTGAGAAAATGATATATAAATTTTGATAAGCATGTTTTACATGAATTATCACATATTTTTAAATGAAGGTTTAAAGAAAAGAATTTTAGAGTTGTAGGACCTGAAGCTTTTGGGGAAAATTTATTATGTTTACAGAAATTAAAGATATCGATTAACAAATGTATTATGGTGCAACTGTCTTAACTGCACACTGGTCTCAGGCCAAACTAAACAGACAAACTATATTTGCCAGAGTTTTATTAGCTCACAAACTATAATTAAAGCCCATATGCACAGAAGACTCATCCACATACTCTGAGTTCCTTTGCACCATTCATAGTTTCCCAGAAGACTGGCAAATCAGACATGATGCCTTTTCCTCTCCATTTAATTTCTTTTTCTTTCATTCTTTTTTTTTCTAATGAACAAAATCCAATTGGGCCAATGAACTTGAGCTCTCACAACTGATCACAATTTTTCAGACACTAGGATTTGGAACCACAAGCCAACTATTTCGATTACACAATAGTGTTGATAAATGGTGAGTTAAAAACTAAAGACTTCACATAGACACAGAATCTTGGACGCAGATATACTAGTGATAGGAATGATTGATAGTGAAGAGAATGACTTGTTTCTAAAGCAAAGCATACTTGATATCTCAAGGGCTAAAAATGGGGGAGGCTATTACCTTTGGTGACACTCCCAAGATTCACAAAAAGAAAATATTTAAAAGCACGAATACATTCACTAAAATTCATGTCATGATATTTTTGTAGATTAACTACATTTCTGGTTACATTCACCTTCATACTTGTATATTTTCTTTTTATCATCTTTCTTCCTTACTGATAATTTATTTTATCATGTGACGAATACATTAAATACTTTGGTAAAGTGGCTGAGTATGAACCACATATTCAATAAAATAATAGCAAAGAATGTGGCTTTGTCAACTGGGACGCATGAGTTTCCTTACTTGTGAGTTTTGTACGGTTCTTCTGCAGATTAGTAAAATAATTTATGAAAGGTAAAGGGGCACATTTGGGGTGATATCACTCATAAACCTTATTTTTAATTAATTAAAAAGAAGCTTTGTTGCATTCAAGTGGTATGGAAGTAATTTGGCATTGTCAATGGTCACGGGAGACACTTACATCAATGTTGTTCAGGGTATTGAAGTACATGAGATCATGCAGCCTCTTGAATGCTTGATTTGGATATTGAAAATTGAAGGTTGAAAATGGTGATTCAGGGTCATCAAAAATATCAAAGTCAGCTATTTCTTTCTCTTCCTCAGTTTCTCTTGGAACACCTAAATACCAGAAAAATCACAAATTGGTGTTATTTTGAAAACTACAAAATATCTCTAAAACTTGGGGAATTAAACAAACAGACATAAAGACAGCATTGGGAGTCCCCACAGAGCCATGTAATCTGAAGTATCTCTGGACTTTATCATTTCAGTGTGTTCTGACTACATGACTTCCATTTGCCCCTGTCTGCATCTCTGTGCCTGAAGGCTTTCTCCCCTACCCTGCAATTGTAGAAGGCTGCTTTGCCTGCTAGCAGCAGGCTGGAAATTCTGGTAAATAACACTTTGCCCCAGGCAGCGGTCAACCAAAGACTGTAAGGAGTTAGGATATAAATATCCGAGGTCTCCTGCCTTTGAGTTGTGTGTGGGAAGGATGATCCTAGGGCACAGATTCTATTCCGTTTCCTAGACTTTCCCAGCAGGGTCAAGTTCCCCTTGTTCCCATCATGGTAGCCAACTGATTAACACATGCTTTGTTGTCTGCCTTCCTTCCCTTTACCACTTCCCCACTTCCTTACTAATAAACTGGATTGTTCTCTAGTTCACCCAAATAAACTATTGTACTTGAGTGCTTTTCTCAGAATCTGCTTCTGGGGCAACCCAAACCCAAAACATTATGTAATTGTCTTCATGCCACAGAAATCCCCTATATGTGCCAACTGCTCATTGGGCGTCTCCTTGAGAATTAACAGTGATAGAAAATTCTCTATGCTTTAAGTGCTCCACTGTTGGATAACTAAAGATGCCAGCCAGTTCTTCTTTCTTCTGTGCTGAAGTATGCCTCACAATAACCTCCACTTCTATTGATCCTTTCTCCATCTTCCTGAGAAACTAAGAAAAAGACTATTTTCCTCTCCATATTCCCATCACCCATCTTCTCTATTTTTTGTGTCTTTCCATTCACATAATGGAAAACTACATTTTTTGGTCCTAAAATCACATGGTTTTTACAGCCTTAAGCATCCTGTGTGTCCATCTCTAGACCTCCTTTTCTTAACCAATATTTTCCAGGATACAGAAGAGTCAACAGACTCCTCTGGATGTAGTAAAATGGAACAACTATGCCTTCAACTTGCTTCTCATTTTCTATGAAATACAACATGGCAACATGAAATTGCTGTACTGTTGTACAGCAATTGTACAGTACATGTTGTACTGTTAGATTATGTTAATCTTGTAGTCAGCTAAAATTCCCAGAGTCAGAATTTTTTGCATGAATTTTATGAAACAAAAGCTCTTACACAAGTGATATTCAAAATATTTGATTCAAAATCAATCAGAACAAACATAATTCAAGGTCTTAGAGTAAGGTCTCTGAGATTTTTTGCTAAGATAGTTGTTAGCTCTTCACTTTCTAGATTGTGAGCAACTCAGTGGAAAGAAAGAGCAGAAGTACTAGGGGGCTCAGCAGAGTAGCTATTTATCAAGGTGGGGAGGCACTTGATATTGCAACAGCTGGTACAGCAGGGCCAGAGTAAAATAGCTCACTACCAATTTGGCTTCCCTACTAAATTTCTATTGTATGGAATATGAATATATCCCAACATACCTGGAGCCTTGTACTTTCTGAAGTTGATGTTGGCCAGAACAAAGTGGATGATGGTTGGGCAATCTTTCTCCACATCAGGGTTCTTGGGTTTAAAGACATAGCACTCCTTCAGTCCTTCCCGATCAAACACGTTAGGATCGATCTTTGGAAAGGGGAGCTTGTTCATTTTAGCCCACTTTTCTGCAAGTAGAAGTTCCTGCGAGGGAAAGATGCATTTGTTCAGCTGATCTGACCATTACTCAATATTCATTAGGTGCCTTCTGTGTGCCAGCAGTATGCTCCTTGCTAGGATGAATAAAGACCCTGTTGCCAAGAAGCCCATCAATCTCAAAAAAATATAAAAGTACTCTCCAAATAAATCCACTGCTGTTATATCAACTTTTGACACAGGGCCAGCTCCACAGCAGGCATTTGGAAAATAACTGGTAAATTAAACTGAATGAAATTATGCTGAAGAAACAACTAAAGAAAAAAACACTATGGGTCCAGAATATTTATAACCATGTGAATGTTTTTTAACCCTCAGGATTAAAAAAAAAAAAAAGAATCTGATGACACAGAATGAGGACCATTCTGTTACTGGATTTTTACCTGTATCATCTCCACAAAAATGTTAAAAATACCTATTAAAAATTCATTCACTTTATGTATGTGAAAATATTTGAGTTACTCTGAATCAGCTTTTGTTGGCTTCTGATAATGAAAAAAACAGTCGAGCTTCCGGCCTCAGCATGTTGCTATTACATGTGTAAAGGTCAAGATTAGACCACAGAGAGGTACCAAGAGCTCTGTTAATGGCCATGGCGGATCGCATGATTGTTTCCACATAGTAGCTCCCTTCCTGGCAAAAAGATTATACGTCCCCACCAGAATGAGGAGACACATGGAACAGAGCCACAGCAGCCGATTTGCAGCTGCTGACACATAACATGACCAAGAAATTCATGTTCATTGTTCACTATTGAGATTTGAGGTTGGTTGTCTTTGCATCAAACCTGAGTAACTCAGTGGGTAAGCCCCCAAAATTAAATGTAAACTGGAGAACATAAATCAAAAGGAAAAGGTGCAGTGAATAGACCTTATTTCCATTTAGATGCAGCTTCAGAGAAAGTGGGATAAATAAGGAGCAGAGTATCATAGTGGTAAAAGCACAGGCTCCGGGGCCAGATGCCCGAGTCCAAATGCAAGCTCTGTGGCCTTGGGCATGTTTCTTAACTCAATGTCTCTGCACTCGATATCCTCAAAGATAAAATACGGAAGACATGAATAATCCCTCTCTCATAGACTGCTGTTAGAATTAAATAAATATTTTATAGTGTTTAAAACAGTGATTATTATATAGTAAGAGCTCTACACATGTTTGTTACATAAATACCAATAAAGAGAGCAAAAGAGAAGGAAAGAAAAAGTGGGGGTGGGGGGAACTAAAGAAAAGAAAGAAAAATAGGAACAGTGTTAGGGAAATTCCTAAAGAGAGAAGGTTTGGGGGCCACTGTCATTAGAATCTTAAGTTACTTTGCACAATCCTTATCATCAATTGATCCATTCAACAATAATCATTAGTGGTCAATCTAGGTCCCATGCTAGGAGTTGGAGATATAACAGTGAGTAAAACATTCATGGCTCTTGTTATGGGATTTGTAGCATGGTGGGTAAGAGATGGTAATCGAGTAATCCTTTCTGTTTAAAACTGTGATAAATGCCAGGAAAAAAAAGTACAGGCTGAGATTGTGCAGTCTACCCTGGGCCATCTCCCCAGAGTATTTATTAATCCAACAATTATTGAGCACCTGCTCTGTTCCAGGCATAGAGAGAGGCTGTCCCTGAAGGTGGGGAGTTTATTAAGCAGTGGGAGAGATAAACAGAGAGTCCAGTGCAGTCCGACAGAGCGGGGGAAGGTGCTGGGTGGTTATTCACCTGGGCTGTGCAGTCTGAAAGGCCCAGCTCAAACACACACCCCTCAACTTGCTGACTGGGCGACTTGGGGCAAATCGCTTCACCACCACAGCTCAACAGGGAACAAATTATTTTGGAGGGCAGCTGTATGCAGTGACTCTCTCCTAATGGCACAGTAGGGACAACGAATCACAACAGACAAACAGGGACGAGGTTGTTCTCAGTGCCATCTCCTTTCTACTTCATCTGTTTCTTATTTCTCGGCAAATTATTTTTCTACCACTGAAGAATAAAGCTAATGCTATTACCTTTCTCACAGGATTGCTGTGAGGATTAAATGAGATAATGGATGAAAACCTCAGTAATTTAGATTCTGAGAAAACAAGTACTTTAACATAGGACCTTAAGTTCAGAGACAAATACACTTTTCACTGAACGCTCGCGAGTCTTGATGCTTCTGGAATGTCATGAATTTTAAGTTGATCAACTCTTTCTCAGTACTATTTACAAAGAAATAAAAATCCCAGAAAATAAAGGATTTAATGTACAGAAAAGCGTTTGCTTCATAAACTATGAAGCTAAATATAATTATGCTTCACCGAAAATTCCATATAGGTATGAATAATTTGTTTGAAATTCGAGAAAACCCTCTTTTCCCCACCCCCTATTCAGTTGAATTAATCAGCTTGTTATTTCTTGTCTAGCACTGTTCAAAAGTATTCATTCATGATTATTCAACAGCAAAATAAAACCAAAAGTTCACATTGTGGAGCAATTGCGTGAGGAGAGGCAAAGAAAGGGCTTTCTAGTGTTTACAAACATGACTCAACGGTATGACCAGCGATGTGTGGCTGTGGGGAGAAAGAGGGAAGGGAACTACGTGATGTAAAAGCGAGGTTATTTTTAGACAGCTCACTTCACACTGGAATCAGGAAGAGACGGAGACTTTCCCTTTCCTTATAGGATCCTGATGTGGAAAAGATTAAAAACCGATGATGATAGAGACAGTGATTACAAGATGGAAAATCCATTTCCTCTCTGATGTCTCATTTCGCTCTGTAAAGACTTGAGAAACACTGACACAGACTCTGAGTCTGAGTAGACTCTTAAAAAAGTATCACTTTTTTAAAAGGATTCTAAAAGAAAGCAGTGAGCAAAAAAAACTACTGCTAAATTATAGCAATATGCCAGAACTGTGTTCTCTCTGTCGCTGCCAATTTTGGTGGCTGTTTGACGCCTCAGATACTTCACATTCCCATAGACTAGTTTATGGTAAACTTACAATGTACTAACTAAAATGATTTTCTGGGAAGATGAAAATTTGGCAGTCTCCTTCAGAGTATTCTTTTACCAAGTGATACTTTGTAAAATGTGTGTGCTCATTTGTGAGTACTAAAACCTGACGAAAATGTCTTGAAGGAGAGGAAAAACAAATAAATAACATAGAAATAAATACCATAACTAAATGTTATTTCTAGATAACAGATATATATTTGAAACATAGTATGAATAGCATATATATACCATTTTGTTTATTTATATGTAAATACGTATTTTAAATATATGAAAAATATATTTATCTACAGAAATGCATATATGTAAAATAATGAATTGGCTTTTCATTATAGGAAGTAGAATTTTTTTTGTCTCTGTGCAAACCAAGAATATGTGTTTTCTATTCTATAATGTTTCTCATTATTTAAAACTTATTTTTAAGATTGGGAAGAGGGATGGCATATAAGCATGTAAAGAAACACCAGAATCTTAAAAAAATATCGAAGAGACTAACATAAGATACATCAAATAGAAACGACAATTAAGAATTCATTATTTTATGGTTATGGTCACTCTTTCTTTCAATAAAAGACATTCTGGTATTAGGTTCCAAGAGCTTTATAATACAATAGGCATGAAGGTGATTTTCCATATCTAATATTGTATAGAGTTTACATAGTACTTTGTAGTTCTCATAAGTTCTTCACAAAAAGGTTACTATAAACTCACAAAAATATGTAAAGAGAAATTAATGTTGGGTATATCTACTCATCACAAGACATTTGATCCTCAGTGGCCAATATGGATATAGTAGATTGATTAGTGGCCCCCTAAAAGATAAATCCATGCCTTAATCCCTTGGCCCTGTGAATATGCTCTTATTTGGGAAAATAATCTTTGCAAATATAATTTAGTTAATGATCCTGAGGTGAGATCATCCTGGATTACGTGGATGGCCCCTGAATTTAATGACAATTATTCTTATAAGAGATAGAAGAGAAGATACACTTGCAAAAGAGAAGGCCATGCAAAAATGGAGACAGAGATTGGAGAGATGCAACCACAAGCCGAGGAATCCTGGAGTCACCCGAGCTGGAAAAAGCAAGGAAGGATTCTGCAGTGGAGCCTTTGGAGAGAGCGCAGCCCTGCTAATTTCGACTTTTGGTCTCCAGAACTGTGAGAGAATACGTTTCCGTGGTTGTAAGCCATCATGTTTGGGTTGATTTGTTCATAGCAGCTCAAAATAACTAATACAAGAGGTAAACCTGGAAGTACTATATTTAATTCTATGCAGTTTCCTTCATTAGCCATTGCGGATTGGGGCTCACAAAGCCAAGGCTTGGACTAATTTGGCCATGATGTGGGCCAACCTAGCAACTATAAATAAATCACAAGCAGAGATTCTAAAAAGGGTCATGCCCTAACGTCAACAAATAAGTCTGGTCATTGTGGAAAAATACAGATTCCTTTTCTTTTATTATAAGTTTAAGTGGAATTTTGACCCTGAGTGAAACATAGGAAGATAAACTTAATTTAGATACATTATTCTTATCATTTCTGAAGACTGCCTCATTTCAAATTGTCCTTCTTTCTTCCTTCTCTCCTTCCCTCATCGCCTCCTTCTCTTTTCTGTTTTTTTATTTTCTTTAATTTTTAAGAAGATAAACCCAGTGTTCTAGCTTCTGATCATGAAGCACATAAAAGAGCACTGAAAACTGAACCAAATTTATGTCCAATATATGGTAACATAGTATAGCATAATACAATTAATGGTACAATAACTTAAATTTATTACTCTCCATAAAATTTAGTAAATTAAAGGGGAAAAAATCTCTAGTAGCAAACCTTGAATTCTATATTCCTTGCTTTCTTGCTCCCCAATAAAACCCAAACTCCCCCTTTTCTACCCTAAATTTGCAGTCTGTTTATTTTGCATACTTGAGAGTAAAGACCCTGGCTTATTTTCAGGACCAATACTAAAGACAAATCTTATTAATTGTCCTCAGATGGACCCTAACAGTTAAG